CAGCCTCATGTGACTTTCACTGTTGTAACAGTATGTACCTGTGATATTAAGTCCTGATAATGCAAGGAAGTTTGAGGGTTCTCGTAGATGGGAAGAGAAGTTCCCAAAACAAAACTAGGAGGAGGAAACAAGCAATCAATTTCATTCTCATCATTCTCCCCCTCAAAATGAGAGGAAGAAATGCTGGAAGAAGGAACAGGAGCTAAAGGTCCTGGTTGCATAAGGAAATTCTTCACTCACACATGTTGTAATAGATGGCACATTAACATGCGAGTTCACAGTGTGGAAAGAAAAGGAAATTAAGTTCCTTAAACTGCAGAAGTCTCATTAGAAATAAAAACACACCTGTGAGTGCAAATGCACATGAGTTAGTGTGCATGGAGGTGTCACTCTTCTATTGGTGGAGGGATATTACTGCTTAATGATGTCATTATTCAGTAGTGAAATTCACAAGAAATCTTGAGAAATTAGGTTGGAGTTCACTAAAGGCTAATGGCACACAAATCTCTAGGGCAGACAAGACAAGGAAGATAGCTTAGCTTAAAAATAGCTTGTTAATAATATAATCATTTGTATATAACCTAACACAGTGGAAATACTTAACCAAATTGCATGATTCTAACACCAATTTTGTAAATGGTATTAATTTTCTGTGTAGAAAAATTATACAATTTCATTTATTATTTCAATAATTTTTTAAGAGGTGAAATTCCTAAACTTTTGTTATGAGACAATGTTTTGAAAAATAAACATTCTTTTGTCTTACAACTTAAATTGTTTTTAAATTAATGATTAGGAAGATCCATTTTATATATACAGACAGTTTTAAATATATTGTTTTGTAAAGTTTCTTTTATTATCTCATTGTATGCAAGCTTGATCACTTTGACCAACCATATAACTATGAAACCACACATAATATTCCTTTGAAGGTATTAGGTATATCTTCACAAAATTTAACAAGCTTTTAGTAAAGCTTACAATTTTGCTGTACACAAAAGTAATAAAGTATTTCTGCTAAAAATATTCTGTGAATTTATGAAGCCTTTAGTGAGTCAGTCCGAGTGAAAGGTGATTTTCATGCTAAGAATAAAATACTTCTTTTCATCTTACAATTTTAATATATGAGTTGTCTAATCTCCAGAACCTCCTGAATGAATATGAAGTTTTTTCTGTAAAACTTTATACTATATCTTTGAACTGTGGCTAACTAGCATAACAAAGCAATAAATAACCTCGCTAGAACTTAAAGTAAACAAAATAATAAGTTACATCCTGATTACATCGTGTCAAAATAGCCCACATGCATTCCTCAAAAATAAATTTCATTTATTAAAGTTTTTCAATTTAAGTTTTTTATTAATCTAGTAAGTTTCTAATTTTTACATTTTAGTTATTTTTGTTAAATATATATATATAACAAAATATATATAAAAACCAAGAAATTTAGTACTTACTTTAACCTTGAAGCCTTTCATTTAGCTTTTAAATATGCATTTTATAACATAAAAGTTATACCATACACAATAATACAATGTCCCAAAACTATTACAATTTACCTGGCTTTTTAACTAACATATAAACAGGTTTAAAGAATTCCATTACTTCTCAGAGGAGCATCTTTAGTCTAAACACATCAAGCTCTCCTGGTAAACTATTACTTTGAATACTAAAAAAAAACAATTGTCTGATTTGTGTCATTTAGAAATGTTGTTAGAGAAAATTAAAATTTCTAAAAAAAAACAGAATTTGAAAGGGGCATGTAAATGTGAGTCAGACAAATATAGAAATATCTCAGTAAAGCAAGATAAGAGCTTAAGTTTCATATTTTGGCTTATCAATATCCATGGTATGCTTGAACAATCTGAAAACCTCACAAGAAAAGAGGAAAAAAAATCAACAAATGAGAATTCAGTTTCACTGCATCATGTGACTCTGCAGATTGCGAATTTAAATATTTCCTTTTGAAATTAAGAATTTGAAACTTAGATAATATAAACATTTGAATAATAAAACATGTTTTGAATCTACATTTACTAACATATGTTGATAATAAAGTAGTTTAATCCAAGTTTGAATATAACTCTGTAAAAACATATCATGACATGTGAACATTGACTCGCCTGTATTCAGAGAGTTAAGACTAGTATTTTTTTTCCACTACATAAGACTAACTGGCCTATAATTTCCAGGTTAACATATATCTATTTTAAAAATGGGAGTAACAATAGCAACTATCTAACCCTATCAAATTTTCAGTATAAAACAATAATAAACATTTTACAATACTGTCATACATATTTGTTTCTTACTTTTAAGTGATGAATATAGCTTTTACAATAAAACCTATTTACTACATAGTTCTATAACTATGTTTGGCCACAAACTTTATTTCTAGTTAGCTTGATCTTTGACCTGTTTTACATTTAAACAATCAACAACTATAAATATCATTGAACTTTTATGATACAGGCTCTTTGTAAAACTGTATTATCCACATTTCATAAAAAGGTAATTACCATTTAATTCCAATTAGAATAAGCTCTCTACTTAGATTACAAATAAAAATTAACATCAACCAAATAGTTAGTAAAGCTAATTATATTATAAAGATAAGAATACATTGTTTCATCAGTTAGGTATCCTTGCTATTAATATTTTTGGATGTAAACCAAATAATATCTCCTAATGTTCATCCTAAATTCATAAACTAAGCTAGCAATGCAAAATAATCTCTATAATAAAAGTACAAGAATAAAAAATGATAAGTAATAAATCTAGATGTATTCAATATTCTAACCATTAGTGTTATTAAAAGTAATAATAACAAAAAGAATAGAGTATACCTGATGTACAGAACACATAAATACTAGATGCTTGCTTCAAGTATACTGCTGAAGATATAACTCTTTCAGCACGGGTTCGGTCACTTGGACCGACCTCATAACAATTTTGTGCTTGTTATAGTTTTCAAAATTTGGCAGATTATCAGTAAACACTACAAAGCATTACATATACAAAATATAATTTTTTTTTATTAAGTCTTAAGGTTTATACAGCAATGTTTTTCTCATGCCTATTTTTTCTTTTCACATGTTGTCTATCTGTCATGCAAAGTATTATTGATTTTAAAATTAAAAATACTTTTATGCATCAGAAAATTTTGAAATTTCACGTGCAAAATCTTTATAATGTCAAGATAGTTATCAAATGTTTCTTAAAACAAACTTTATATTTTATCTGTTATTGTCAGTAATTAATCTCTGTACAGGTTCGGTAGATTTAACTGATTTTGCAACCACCATAAAAAATTAAGGAAAGAAATATAAATTATGCCTCTTTTATTCTAGAATGAACACAAATTATAACATAAATGTTTAGATGAAATAGCTTAAACGTTTATATATATATTTATTGTTTTTATTATACTGACCTTTTAGCCATCACTGGCTAACAAAACAGAAGTTACAATCACGCGGCTCACGTGCACTCATGTTACTATGTCAAATAACATAAGACTGACCTTTGATTTGTGCAAAGTAACTTGTCTTGGTTGTGTTTTAGTAGACTAGTATTTTGTAAAATACAGTCACATTTCAATTATTTTACATTATATATATATATATATATATAGATAGATTATTGCTATTGTGAAATAAGTTCTTAAACATATTTTTCCTAAAACATAGAAGACTAAATAAAGAAGTAAAGCAAACAATTATCTTTTCTAGTTATGACCTTCTTACTCGGTTGCTGCTTTACTTAGCTAAGCCTTTAAAAAAATTGCACTTGGAAGATATGAAACAAAATATGTTTTTTGGGGGGTTTTAATATATACATCTGAAAAACTAAAAAATCATAAATTACTACATTAATACCATAGAATTAAACTATAATTTATAAAGCTTAGTAACTCAGATGTAATTTAGTGTAAAGAAATATGAAATATCGAGCAGACTAAAGACATACTCTACTTCGTTGAAATATTGGTTCAAAAGAAAGAAATGGCACCAAGTCCGTTAAAATGACATTCTGAACTTCTGATTGGTTATTTATGTCATATATAGAAGTAAGTGTACATAAGGAAGTGTTTCCAAAAATGGAAAGGGGTGGGCAGGGTGCCACTGTGTTTGATTTATTACATGAACAATATCTTAAAAAGATAAGATGCTCTTATTTTATATTCTAGTTTGTCAATATCAGTAATTTGAGTTTCTAATTCATTCTAAAACTATACTTAGTATTTTGACTTCACAAACATCTAATTTGAACCAGTGCTGCATTCAACATACCATGTGACA